AGTCCAACATCAAAGTCTTTCTACCCCCAAAGTAAACCATGCCAGCATTCACAGTGTATCTGCCCTGGCACCCTTAAGCTTGAGGTAGGGCAGGTTTTGCTACTCCTTGGCTTCTCAAACAACATGGGGCAGCAACGGTAGATCACAAATGGATTGCTTTCTGTTAGGAACCAAAGCAGCTGCTTTTATTGGCCCTCCTATATTCTGAACAGACTATACAAGTGTAGTTCACATGCGTGTTATTTGCATATATTATGAACTCACTTTCTGCAAGCATGTTCAAATGTTCTTTTTAAATATTTGTATACCTAAGGTTTTGAGCTTCTACATATTGTCTTTTGAATGATGGAAGCCACCTTGGACTCTTTTTAAGGAGAAAGGCGGGATAAAAAAATATTTTAAATAAATAATACAGCACTGTTTATTGGCAACAAGTTCCTCACATTTTAAAGAAACATTGGTTGAAATATTGTTGCTTAGTGCAGTAAGGTAGTAGATCGATTGTATCAATGAAATGTATGCAAGAGTTGACTCACCAAATACCCAGTGGACCTACTCTAGTCATCACTTATTGTGCTAAGTTACAGAATTTCAACCTGTGATTTTTTTTTAAACAACACATATAGAGACCTTTCTGTTTAGGCAGCAGGATAGTATGCTTTAGCTGGCCATATGAGCAACAGGATTTATTAATATTAATGTTTGAATGATTATTTTTAATATAGGATATTATTATAATATTGCCTATTTTTAATGGTTTTAATGTTTTTAAAGTTTTAATATTGTTCTACACTGCTCAGAGATCACTGGTAATGGCACAGCTAAAAAATCTTATAAATAAACAAACAAACAAACAAACAAACAAACAATGCATGCTTCTTAATGTTAACATTAAGTAGTAATGCCAACTTTAAAAAAAACTAGCTTAACAGCAGCTTGAATATAGCTCTTCCCCGTCCTTTATCCTAATTCCAGGCACAGCTTTGTTTGCCTACATTCTTCAATGTGAGACTGTTCTTAAAGGTACAGGAGTAAGGCCTTGTCAGGAAGTCAGCAACCCATGAAGTCAGAGTCTCATCCTTTTTCCTGCTTTACTAGATTTCAATAACAACTGATTTGGAATGGACGTAAAAAATCATTTAGCTACATCCAGTCTTCTAGTTGAAGCAGGTCCAACTTCTGCTCCAAAGTCTCTATTGAAGGAGAACTCGCTACCTTCTTCTATACCACTGCCAATTGGCTGTTTATAAGGACATTTTCCTAATGGTTAACTGAAATCTGCTTCCTGCAATTTCTACCAACTGAAGTCTGCTGCCTCTTCTGTATGGCAACCTCCCAGGTTGGACATTAGCCATAGCACAGCCTAAGAGTTGTTGAACTGCAACAACAGAAGGGTCTGTCTCTCTTTTTTTGATAGAAACACAAACAATGTTCCATTTGAATAATGAATGGGCATGGATTTGAAGGTATATACGTAGGCAGAAATCTAAAAGAGATGAGTATTTCTTATTCCTGTTGTTGGTTTGTGTGCTAGTCTTGAAATCTCTTATATCAGTGGTTCTTAACCTTTGTTACTCGGATGCTTTTGAACTGCAACTCCCAGAAACCCCAGTCAGGACAGCTGGTGGTGAAGGCTTCTGGGAGTTGCAGTCCAAAACTCCTCAGTAACCCAAGGTTAAGAACCAGTGTCTTATATGACACTGAGTGTACACTCTTCTATTAATTATAAAGACTTATCTAAATGACATATGCCTCAAAATGCAAGTGGGAAATGTCTGAACCAGGAAAGAGTATATCACACAAGAAACAAAACCAAAAAAGTTGTGGCACCTTAAAGATTAACTTCTATTTTCATGTGAGCATTCATGAATCAAGTCCACTTCTTCAGATTTTTACCAACTGTGTACCTTTAAGACTGCTGTTGTCTAACAACAAGAGAGTAGAATGTAGCAAGATCAGCCCAAACTATAACTATGGTATAATCCACAGAATTTGGAAAACAGGCACCTCTTTCATCTTTGGGGACATAGCTATCCTTTACACAAGCACTTTTCTAATTGAGATTAACTGGTATTGAGGCATAGAAAGGCGGGACCAACTACTGTGCAGAGTCAGTTATAATGTGCTTGAATTTTCTTTGGTGCACTCCAGTTGTTGTTGTTTGTTGTTTAGTTGTTAAATCGTGTCCGACTCTTTTTGACCCCATGGACAAGAGCACACCAGGCCGTCCTGTCTTCCACTGCCTCCCGGAGTTGGGTCAAATTTATGTTGGTAGCTTCAGTGACACTGTCCAACCATCTCATCCTCTGCACTCCAGTAAAGGTAAAGGTAAAGGTTCCACTTGACCATTTTTGTCCAGTTGTGTTCGACTCTAGGGGGCGGTGCTCATCCCCATTTCCAAGCCATAGAGCCAGCGTTTTGTCCGAAGACAATCTTCTGTGGTCACATGGCCAGTGCGACTTAGACACGGAACACTGTTACCTTCCCACCGAGGTGGTCCCTATTTATCTACTCGCATTTGCATGCTTTCGAACCGCTAGGTTGGCGGGAGCTGGGACAAGCGACGGGCGCTCACTCCATCGTGTGGATTCGATCTTACGACTGCTGGTCTTCTGACCCTGCAGCACAGGCTTCTGCGGTTTAGCCCGCAGCGCCACCACGTCCCTTTCACTCCAGTAGCTGATGGTTATTTACAATATTCAGGCATTTCTTCCTTCATGGCTGAAATGCTGTTGCTTAGCATAGCTGGTTACACTAGAGTAGGCCCACTTAATCAGTGGGGATTTAGTAAGATAACTCCTCTGTAACTTTCAGTGGTCAAATGAGCCTTCTCTGGCACTATGCTAAACAACAAGATATCATGCCATATATGATAAAAGTCTTTGTTGCAACAACTTAAGCATCACTATACCTTCATGGGAAATCAATGCAATGGTCCTCCTTTCCTGAAGACTGGAATGCACATGTAATGTTTCCAGTTTGTGATCCATTATTTTGTTTGCCTTTCCTGTTGGCTTATTCTTAGAATTTTTACAGATTTAGTCTCTGTAATTTGACATAGTTCTATCAGCATCCCATCCACTCCTGGTGACTTATTTCTTCCAAGAGGTTCCAGATCAGCTTTACTTTCATTTTCTAAAGCTGCAGCTTGGAATATATTTTTTTATTTAATTTATACCCCGCCTATCTGGTCGGTGAGGACCACTCTAGGCGCCTAATATAGATGTACTATATAAAAAAATCAGTCATGAACTGAACTGACTGAACTAAGATGTATTTTTTTCCGTTTCTTATGATATATAGCCTTTCCCAACCTACAAATGTCGAAAATTACATAGAACCATCTAGACCTACATTTAGTAAGGCAGTTCTGATGGCAGATTTTCAAGGAAAAGGGGATTTCTGAGGGTATGAAGTGATTTTTGAGAGCAACAGAGGCTTCTTCACAGCCCAGTCCGATCCCCTACAGTGGTTTTCCAACCTTGGCTAATGCCAGCCAGCACAGCTAGTGGTGAAATCGAAGAACACTTGGATTACATCTTTCCTACATCTTTAAATTAGGATTGCATTGTTAGGGCACAATCCTGCATAGTTGACTATCAGCTGAGCTGTGTCCAAGCTACTCCCAACCCACAGCCTATAGGACTTGGGAGTTTCTTAGGACTATCCTAAGTTCAGCTAAACTTTAGGCTGAAATAATAAGGGCATCACTAGTTTGGAATCCAACTAGTTTGGATTTCTGAATCCAACGAATAATGAGAACTAATTATGATAAGTGGGGGGAAGGGGAGAAGATCGCAAAGGGTGGACCAGTAAGGCTTCCATGATCTTGCAGCAAACTTAAAGGGTAGCCCTACCTAGCCTGGATGGTTTTGGAAATAACTCTATGGCCACAGAGAGGCTCTAGTTTCGAGCTAAAAGGGATTTAGATCCTCGCAGCAACTCCTCTTATCTACACCCTCCTCTTCCCTTTCCCTGTTCGTTCTGCTGCCACCTGGTCTCAGTCAGCACAGCAGTTCTGCCCCGTAGACCCAAACATCAGTCAGCACAAGGCGCGCTTGCCGGCTTCACCTCCACCACAACTAGCCTCTGTTTGAGTTTAGAAAGAAAACGCCACTGACCTCGCCAACTACACAGAGGATCGCATTCCACGTTGGGCAAACGACCAAACAAACTCGCTCTATAACGTCGTCATGGAAAGGTTTTTTTTTTTTAAATGAAAATAAAAACCGAGAAAGCTGAAGGTCACCGAGAACTCTTAACCTGCAGTAGATTTAATTCTCGTGCCCCGCAACGGAAGATAGGAAGTTTGAAAGGATTCCGAGTGACTAAGAAAAGAAAGCAAAGGCCCTGAGACTCAATCCCGGCTCAGGAAAGCCAGGACGGGGCGTGCGCATGACGCGCTCGCGTCCGGAGGTAGGGAGGTAGGTCGTGTCGGGCTCCGTATGTGTGTATGTGCGTGTGTGTGTGTGTGTTGTGCGTGAGGCGCGGGGAGGGGCTAGTCCTCTTTGAACTCGGCTAGCCCGGCAGGATGAGGCGGTCCCTGTCGGGGCGTTGGGCCGTACGTGCGGAGAAGGCTTGGCGAGGCTCGGAGCGGGCGCGCTTCGTTTGAGCCCCAGGAAGCCCCTACG